CCGGCCACCTCTCCTAGTCCTAATAGGACTAGGGGAGGGGGGAGGCGCGCGGCCACCTTGGGCTGCCCCTTTCTCCTTTCCACTAAAGCCCCGGGGGGTTCAGGTAACCTCCCGGTACTCCGGTAAAATCCCGGTTTCACCCGGAACACTTCCGATATCCAAACATAGGCTTCCAATATATCAATCTTTATGTCTCGACCATTTCGAGACTCCTCGTCATGTCCATGATCACATCCGGGACTCCGAACAATCTTCGGTACATCAAAATGCATAAACTCATAATAACTGTCATCGTAACGTTAAGCGTGCAGACCCTACGGTTCGTGAACAATGTAGACATGACCGAGACACGTCTCCGGTCAATAACCAATAGCGGGACCTGGATGCCCATATTGGCTCCTACATATTCTACGAAGATCTTTATCGGTCAGACCGCATAACAACATATGTTGTTCCCTTTGTCATCTGTATGTTACTTGCCCGAGATTCGATCGTCGGTATCCAATACCTAGTTCAATCTCGTTACTGGCAAGTCTCTTTACTCGTTCCGTAATACATCATCCCGCAACTAACTCATTAGTTGCAATGCTTGCAAGACTTATGTGATGTGCATTAGTGAGAGGGCCCAGAGATACCTCTCCGACAATTGGAGTGACAAATCCTATTCTCGAAATACGCCAACCCAACATCTACCATTGGAGACACCTGTAGAGCTCCTTTATAATCACCCAGTTACGTTGTGACGTTTGGTAGCACACAAAGTGTTCCTCCGGCAAACGGGAGTTGCATAATCTCATAGTCATAGGAACATGTATAAGTCATGAAGAAAGCAATAGCAACATACTAAATGATCGGGTGCTAAGCTAATGGAATGGGTCATGTCAATCAGATCATTCAACTAATGATGTGACCTCGTTGATCAAATAACAACACTTTGTTCATGGTTAGGAAACATAACCATCTTTGATTAATGAGCTAGTCAAGTAGAGGCATACTAGTGACACTAAGTTTGTCTATGTATTCACACATGTATTATGTTTCCGGTTAATACAATTCTAGCATGAATAATAAATATTTATCATGATATAAGGAAATAAATAATAACTTTATTATTGCCTCTAGGACATATTTCCTTCAGTGTTCTACTAACAATTGTGCCCTCAAAATTGCCGGCATAGTCATGCCCATGATCAGGAAAATAAGATCATCATGCAATACTTGAGCCAGTCATAGAGGCTTGACTAGGAATACATTTTACCGTTTATTATCCACACGTGCACATGAGTTTCCCTCCAAGCCTTGTTTTATTTGCAGACTCGAGAATCGTTGCAGTTATAGCATGGAACATAAATCTTCATTACAAACCAGGAGATACAAAATAACTGTTATTACTGCCTCTAGGGCATATCTCCTACACGTGAATGACCTGTCCTCGGTCTTGTAGTACATGATGGCAGCGCGTGCAAGCTCTACAACGCATAGAGCAGCATTGAGTGAATGAATGAATTAATCAACATGTAGAGTAACATGAAGTAACACTTACTATCTCCATGGTTGATGAGCCCAATGGCCACCTTGTCTCCACTTAGTGAATCGGACCATAAAACTTCATGACGGAGTTGCAGATGGTGTACAGCTGATGTGTTACCGACGTCACATTGTATTCATGGATGACTTGCATATCATACGACAGAAAGTTCCTTCGCTTATGAAATGGCCAACCACGTTAAGCTTTGCCAAAAGGCCGGGCCCTTGTTCATGTCTACAAAGTCTGCAGAAATAGCCAACCACGCATCGCACATCAACCCATTCTCGATCACCAAGCACCCTGTCATCGTGCTTCTTTATAAAACAACAAGAAGTTCAAGAAAAAAAAACTCAATGACATTTGACCGAACACCTGCCAGGCGTGTTGTCCGTCATGGACGGCACCGGCAAGGGTGGGGAGGGTACTTGACTGCTGAGGAATTCCTGGATGGACAACGACGTAGTGCATGGTAGGCAGGTGCGTGAGTGGGGTATGTGGATGTTCGAGGATGCTTGGGCGGCGTCGGACGATGAGAGTGTGGATGAAAGGAAGGGGGAGCGGGGGCGGAGTGAAAAAAAAAGGGGACCAAGAGGGTGCGGTACACGTTGGATGGCCAAACACGTCCACACAGCCCGCTCCAGATGGATGCGGGTGGTTTAAGGGTCAGCATTTAGAGATGCCCTGACGCCACTTTCATTTTTTAATAATAATAACAATAAATAATAAATTAATACTGGAAATTTGAGGTGGGTGAAACGTGAGCATGTGACGTTTGATTATGGCGTGCGGGACGACAGGATATATAGGACGGTAGGAGGAACCAAAAGCTTTGGTGCCTCCAAATCATCTCCTTCCTTCACCCACTGTTACTTTTCACGACTGACCTACGTTTGTTCATTATTGTGGCTTGTTGCATTTCCATTAAGCGCGTCCTCTTCTTCTTTTTACCTCGGTCACCCATAATGATCGATTCACACACCTCCACTTTGCCTTTTCTACGGCTCTGCTTTGCGTCCGTACCCAGTGAAAAATTTCAGCCGTAAACCATCCCGCCTTTTCATCGAGAGACCGTGCGTCCGCTTTACTACGACATTTTTAAACCATAAAAAAAAGTACTATGATCTTGCACAAATTTAGGCGGTATAAACAGTGCCTTTCGATGCCTGCAATCATCCATCATCCATGTGGCCACCGCCATCAATCATACTAGTATGTCAAGCTGGTCTTGAACCAATCGACGAGCAGTAGTACTAATCCATGATTAATGGCACACCTTTATTTTTGCGAAATTTTTTTCAATCTATTCATTTTCAATCATGGCAATACAACGAACATCAGAAATAATAAAAATTACATCCACATTCGTAGAACACCTAGCGACGACTATAAGTACTAAGTGAGCCGAAGCGCGCCGCCGTCATCGCCCCTCCCTCGTTGGAGTTGGGCAAAACTTATTGTAGTAGACAGTCGGGAAGTCGTCGTGCTAAGGCCCCGTAGGATCAGCGCAGTAGCACAGCATCTGCCGCCGATGAAGAGTAGCATAGATCAGAAGGATCCAACCTGAAAACACATGAACGTAGACGAACTACGACCAGATCCGAGCAAATCCACCAAGGACAGATCCGCCAGAGACACATCTCCACACGCCCACCGACAATGCTAGACACACCATTGGGACGAGGGGTAGGCGGGGAGAATCTTATTCTATCTTCAGGGAGCCGCTGCCGTCTCGTCTTTCTAAGCAGGACACAAACCGTAATGAAACGCGAAAAAACAACTGAAAACAGAGCCCTCCCGCCGACAGGGGCCGAGATCCACCGCGCCGCCATGGACCTAAGGCCACCGGAGACGAGGCAGACCGCCGGTGGCGTCGGCGGGAGGCAGGGGAACCCTAGACTTTTCTTGAGGAAGAGGCTAGTCTATTAACGGCACACCTATCTAATCTACGATGCTTATTAGTGTCTAATGTCTTCCTCTCCCGATTAATCTGCGTGGTGTCATGTCATTCCTGATGTGATTTGTGAGAGAAGAGAATGTTCTATTCTCACTCACCTAGGGAATTTGTTCCCTTGTGCGTGTGTGTGTGCGCGCGCACGTTTTTGATAGCCAGCCAGCCAGACACTGTCGTTCTCTCTTTGGACTGGAATCTAGCTAGCTAGCTAGCCACTCACAGTGCGGTGACAGTGAAAAGGGTAAAGAAAGAAAGAGGCAGCCAGCAGTAATTTTTACGTACAGTAGTTTATTTGCACATGAGCTCCACGGAGGGAACATGCACTGCACTGCACTGTTCGAGTTGACACTTGCACCGGCGACCGACCGCAGCGAGTGTTTTTACTGTTCGCCTGCACGGTCGAGTCGAGACGCCAATTGGTTCTCGGCCACGTGGAGCATCCCACCGTGTGGCAAACAAACATGGCTAGAAACGGATGCAGAAAACGTGAGTTTCTTTTTTGCGGGATGTGAGGCGTTGCTAATTAGCGCTCGCGCGTCGGGGCGCTCGCTTTCCGACCAGCCTTGTGTTCCAGATTTATTAGGAAAGAAAAAGGGGCCCATGGTTCCAACAATTCCCGCATGGGGATCGAGCGTCGCAGCGCTCGCTCGCCAAGGAGTAAATCCGGTAGGAAAATATCTAACAAGATGTAAGGTTGACAAGTTGTTGCATGCACAATCAAGCCTACCAAGCCTACGCTTCGTCTTAATTCCCGTCTTGACAAAGCTCCACATATCGTATTATATACTTCTAGGTGTAGTTTAGCGGTCGACCTGATCCGCGAGGCCGATAGAGCTCCACAGATCATTTTTATACTTCTTGTTGTAGTTTTAGCGGTCGGCATGCCCCGCGAGGCCTAAAAAAGGGTTTCAAAAGAAAATAATAATCTGCTAGAAACAGAATGTCAAACCCTAGCGTCGATGCCGAAAGAAACAAGGGGCGAGATGCATGAGGTGTGAGCGAGAACGAGCATCCATCCGGCTGCGAGGGGACGCGAGTCGGCCAACAACTAATCACCACCTATGCTCAATTTGAAAATTTCACATAAGGATTTGGTCTCCCCACCATGAGCCGGAGATATTTTTGTTTCCTTGCATGTGAAAAGCACAAGTAGCATGTGTGAAGACACTAGAACCTTAATTTGCCACAATGATGATGGCACACACACACATTTGCATCCAACCCCTTCCAAAAAAAGCCCAAACAATCACAACAAGGGCAAGAAGAAAAGAGCAAAATGGGAAGAAGCAAAGACCCTATCTATAAACTTACCTTGCGCCTCTTCCTCCCCCATCTCTGCTCCTCCTCCTCCAGCACTACTTGGCCCGCTGTGGTTGGACGATCGATTCCCCTCCGCCTCCCGCCGCCGCCGCCGCCGCCGATTCACTCCTCCCCCGCTCCCTTCCCCTTCGCCCGCCTCGTCGCCCGTAGCACCCGCTCTCCCGACGCCACCCAACCCACGCCTCCGGCGCATCGTCGGCGATGGCGACCGGGGCGGCGGCGCTGTGGCAGCCGCAGGAGGAGGGGCTGCGCGAGATCTGCGCGGTGCTGGAGGCGCACATCTCCCCCAACTCGGACCAGGCCCGCATCTGGCAGCAGCTCCAGCACTACGCCCAGTTCCCCGACTTCAACAACTACCTCGTCTTCCTCCTCGCCCGCGGACAGGTAGCAGCACGCCGCCCCCCCTTATCCCCTCCTCCGTCGCTGGCTCGCTCGCCTGCTTCCCGTGCCCCGTCGCGCTAGGGTTTTAGTCCAAGCCGCCCTCTGATGCTCCAGGGACTGGATAATAATGGGGTCCCCGCCTGCGCGCTGCCTGTTTCGATCTGATGTCGCGCTGCTGTCGCCGCTAGGGCTCTCGCAATGTCTGATTGGTGGGATATGGCTCGGATTGGCTCCGATGTGATAACCCACAGCTGACAGAATGGCAATAGCATCTGGGGTTTTGGGGGCGAAATGCTGAGTGCATCCGCTTGGCTGCTGCATAGATTTGACGGTTTCATATGGAGTTTCAGTTTCTGCATTGCCTGCTTATTTTCAACGGGTGTGTCCGATGAATCCGCTGAACCAATCAGCGAGGGTTTCGTGGTGCGGCTCTTTGGTTTGAACAAATGTGCTGGTGGTGGTCAATTTGTCGTGCTGCTACGGGGCCGGGTTTAATTGGGGTTCTGCAAACGTGTAATGCGTCCGCTCTTGATTAAGTTATTTTGGCTGACACCGAGTCTCTGAGGGCGTTACCGTTTTGTGTCTATACCACCTGCCAGCGCAGACGCACATGATTTATGGATGAACGGTCAAATCAGTTACAGTTGCGAATCAAGTGATTGAATGAAAGGCACATGGTCCTGGAAATTCGATGCGTATCCACTTAGTTGCTTGATCTATATTCTATATGTATTGTTAGCGAGGTTTGACTTATGGTGGGCTCAGACAGCACCATATGTGCTCAAAGGTGGGTCGACAGCTATTTAGAACACCGCTCTTGCGTGCTAGCTAGAGGTACAGATAGAATTGAAGCAATCTGTTATGCTTCAAGGATTTGGTAGAACACATGTATGCAATGATAACGTGGTCTCGGGTACTATTGAAGAAATAATTTATTGAATATGATCTTCTATGTAACTTTCCCATCTGTGAACTGGCACATTGCACATGTAATGCTATTGCCAAATTTAAATTTTATATCAGATAGCAACTCAGGCATAAATATATTAAACAATTAACTGTATCATATCTCGCAGCTTCTGTCATGTTCTATGTTTAATGAAAGCACCAAGTTAGGATGAGAAGACTTTAAAAAAAGTTAAGACGAGAAGACAGGGTTTCCTTTTTTGTTAGATTTCTTTTCCGAATAATATTTTATCCCTTTTTATACGGGATCACATCTCATGTAGATTTAGCTTTCAGTAAGCTGTTGATTGTCAACCTGCCTAGATCTGCAGTTAGTTTTGGTCCTGAATCCCTTACATGGTTTTGATTGTTAGTCCAGCTACCTCTGTTTTTAAGGCGTCCCGCCTTGGACGCTTAGGCGACGCTTAGGCGATAAGGTGCCCCGCCAGCGCCTTACAAATATGCCCGCCTTAGGCGCTTAGGCGTCCGCCTTAGGCGCTTAGGCGTCGCCTAGGCGATAAGGCGCCCCCCCAGCGCCTTAGATCGCCTTACCGCCTTAAAAACATAGCCAGCTACTGTATATTGTTCTTGCTGACATCTGGGTAACTCTTCTGCCTATATCAGGGAAAATCTTTTGAAGTACGGCAAGCTGCCGGTCTTCTATTGAAAAATAATCTGCGAGCGGCTTTCGTTTCCATGCCTCCATCATCTCAGCAATACATCAAATCCGAGTTGTTGCCATGTATAGGGGCAACTAACAGGGCAATTAGGTCCACAGTTGGAACTGTTATCAGTGTACTCTTTCAAATTGTTGGAGTCACTGGATGGATCGAGTTGTTTCAGGCTCTACATCAATGTTTGGACAGTAATGATCTGGATCATATGGAAGGTGCTATGGATGCTATCTACAAGGTACTATGCGTCACTCCTTCTATATTTGAGTTTGGATTCTAATCTTTAGTTCTGTGCATAGAAAACTACCACTAGTTGCAGCTGTATGGTCTGAGGGAAGTCGGAAATGTATTGGTGGATGCACACCTGGTTGCTTTTGCGCACTTACATGTTTAGAAAATTTCAGAACAACAATTTGCATGTACATTTGGTATATTCAGTGAAATCTCTAAACTTTGGTCCAAAACCATGACGATCTGTGCTTTGCAAAAAATACTTTCTGCACTTGTAGTTATTTTCATACCGAAAAACCTTGCCCTTTTTTGGGAGCGCAGAATTAGATATACTCTGACTTACAATCTACATGTTCTCAAACAATGTACATCTTGAGAAAAGAATGGACTTTTTCAAATGCCCACATCTAGGGAAGTTCCGCTAGCAATGTAAATCGTATGTGTTAACTTCTGAACACGATTAGTATGCTCAGAAGCTTGCTTTTGTTTCTGCTCGCAGATATGTGAAGATGTTCCTGAAGAGCTTGATGTTGATGTTCCTGGCTTGTCCGAACGACCAATTAATGTATTCATGCCACGGATGCTGCAGGTTTGTGTTCCGTCTGTAGCTATCAACTATTAAACTAGAGGGTTTGCACTTCCACTTGCACACCCTGTAATTGATGAATTTGCTGCCTGTATATTTTGACCAAGCATGCCTCTGGTGCACATGTTTGTACGCTCTAGTTTAACACGCCTACAGGGTTTTCCTCTAACACAGCCTATATGATTGCCTTTTCAGTTTTTCCAGTCCCCCCATGCAAGTCTTCGAAAACTATCACTGGGCTGTATCAACCAGTATATCGTGGTGATGCCATCGGTATGAGCCCCTCCCTCCCTGTCTATCTAATCCTGCTTTTTTTTGTCTAACCATTTCGATTTACATGCAGGCGTTGTATATGGCCATGGATCAGTACCTGCAGGGCTTATTCGTCCTTGTGAAGGATCCTTCAGCGGACGTCCGGAAACTGGTACTCCCTCCGTTCCGAATTACTTGTCGCAGATATGGATGTATCTAGATGTATTTTAGTTCTAGATACATCCATTTCTGCGACGAGTAATTTGGAACGGAGGGAGTATTTCATTTTAATGATTTATTTACACATGCATCCATGCACTTCTTTGTAATCTTGTAGACTTGTACTGATAAGGGTTCAAATGCTATAAATGCAACAATTGCATGACTCAGTAGATTCCTATTATGCTGGTAGAGATCTGGACATGGCCGACTTGTCCACAAGTGCTAATAATGAGGGTGTATGGATACTGCTAAGCATAGTTGAGTTGTTCAGTTGCATTTTTGTCTTGATTGTTCTCCCTGTTTCTTTGATAGGTTTGCTCGGCCTGGGTTCAGCTCGTTGAAGTGCGGCCATCAATTTTGGAGGTAATTTATCATTTCCTTCGATACCCATTTAGATTACATTTGCTGCTGTCACCAAGTAATTTGTAGCCACAGTTGGTTATGCTGAATCTGACAATTAATAGCAAAACTGCAGCCACATTTGAAAAATGTTACTGAATTGATCCTGCAAGCTAACAAAGATTCAGATGATGAAGTTGCTCTGGAGGCTTGTGAATTCTGGTATGCGTTCTGTCAACATGGTAAATTTAACACGTCAACTTCAAATTTCGTACTATAATTTTTTTTACATTGATTGGTGCTCATGCCTATCTGTTCTCACATTTTATTCGGCTGACATCCTTCAAGTTCAAAATAAACTATGAGCCACTGATGATTGTGTTGACTTATTAGAGGACTGACTATAAGTAAACCTTTTCAGGTCAGCGTATTGTGATGTTAGCATGCCCCCTGAAGGACTGCGGGAGTTCTTGCCACGCTTAATACCAGTATATGATTTGCCTTGTCTAAGCTAATGCTGCTTAATCTTTGGTCTTCTACCGTTTTAACATCTTCCCTTTGTATTTATTTCCTAGACTTTGGTGTCAAATATGGTCTACACTGACGATGATGAATCACTCGCTGATGCTGAGGTGTGTGGTAAATTTCTTTATATCCTGCATGTCTCAGCTGGTTATTGTGTGATAGTGGCATGCTCTGATAAATATTATGTGTTTTCAGGAAGACGAATCCTTTCCGGACAGGGACCAGGTTGGTTACCTTTTCTTTTTCTGTAATTATATGTTTCAGTTATAGCTGCTAGATTAAATGGTTGGCTCCATGCACGTGTAATCTGTAATTATATGTTCTCAATGGTAGCTGCTAGATTAAATGGTTGGCTCTATTCATGTGTAATCTGTAATTATATTTTGGATGAGACTTGTGTTTTTGGTCAGTATAATGCTGTAATGCATTGAACATAGTCCTGTAATTTTGAACTGTGAAACACATAGAAGTTAGTTACTTTTGGTTGTATTTACAAATAGCATGTTAAGAACAATGCAATGGCTTTAGCATGCATTTTGTAATTTGCCTTCCTGTAAAATTAAATTAACAGTCTTGAAATGGAGGGTGGCAGTAAGTTTACAGTTACCATAGCCCTCATCATAAGTTGTACATTTTTATGACTTCTGCCCTTTTTTGTTGCTTCAAATAAGATATAGATGATTCTGTAACAGGATTTGAAGCCCCGTTTCCATGCCTCTCGATTGCATGGATCTGAAAATGGAGAAGATGATGTGAGTTTGGAAACATTATTTATTTTTTAAGCCGCCTAAGTACCTTTTGCCTACTTGTTAATTTGAAGCTGCAAAAACTTAATGACCGTATGGACAGGATGATGATGATGCTGTAAATGCTTGGAACTTGCGGAAATGTAGCGCTGCTGGGTTGGATGTCCTTTCTAATGTTTTTGGAGACGACATTCTGCCGACTTTAATGCCTTTGATTCAGGTAATCTATTCGTAGTTCTGGAGACTATAAAGCTTATAAACTGTTGATCTTAGTTGAGGTTGCAATGCTTCACTGACTTGAAGCCTTGAATTATTACTCAATTGCAAGTAAATCTGTTAGTAATACAGCGCCCAGAGTAACAGTTTTCCTGACCTGAACCTGTAAAGCATGTGTATGCTTGGGTTCAATACTATAATGGCCACAATTTTCTTGCCAAAGTGTGGCAAGCCTTCCATTTTGTGTGAGTAAATTGGTCGCCACAAGTTAAGCGAAAGTTGAACAAGAATATGTGACTGGGAGAAGTTGCTAAAAAGTGGTCGCTTATGGAAGTCAAACTTGTCTAACACAAGTGTGGCGTCAAACAGAACACTTTGGGGCCACAATAGTTACTATGGGCCTTGAGTTCACATAGAAGTAGAGTAGGCCAGGCTCCTTAGAAACAATTCAGGACAGTGGCTTAAGTGTGCCCGTTATGATTTGTCTTGATGTAGGCTGCTGGTAGTCAGTGACACAGATAACTTAAAGCTACTATTATCTAAAGCTGCACTGTTGTCAAAGTTGTAAAATCCAAACCCTGAAACCTGTTACTGCGGTAGCCAGCAGGTCTCTAGTAACTGGAAGTTTGCATAATCTCACCCATTTATGGTACGATAGGCTTTTTTGGCCCATGTGTGTGTTCAAGGCCTTTCTGTTATAATTGGTGCTGCTCTTGAACCCGTTGGATAACCATAAATCAACTTCTGCAATTTTGCAGCAAAATTTGGCTCGGACAGATGATGAGTCCTGGAAGGAGCGGGAAGCTGCTGTTTTATCGATTGGTGCTATAGCAGAGGGATGCATCACTGGGTTATATCCCCACCTTCCACAGGTAACCAGCGACATATTCATAGCCCCATATACGTTGCAAGAAAGCAATTCCTCTCCTGACTAAGCCTCGGTAACAGTAAGAACACATGCCATGCATCAAATCATATTGAGACGACCGTGGCTGATAATTTTCCTGAATTTAGTCTTCAGAAGCATTATAATTAGCCTGATTACTTGCTTCTCATGAACCTTCTATAACATATCTGAGAATTTTCTTCTCAGCATGTGATAAAATCTTTTAAAAAATTCAGTTGCATTAATAGTTCCTGCATAATAAATTTCATATTCAGTTGCATCAATAGTTCCTGCATAATAAATTTCACATTCTTCCATGGTCTGTTATCTGTGAGATTTTGGACTCTACTGAGTTGTGGTTCAATTATTACTTTTCCTGTCTTCAACTATCTCTCTACATTGCTTGCAATTTGCTGTATCTTTTCTGAGATGTTCTGTTTAATTGCAGATGGTTGCCTTCCTAATCCCACTTCTTGATGATAAGTTTCCTCTTATTCGGAGTATTACTTGCTGGACCCTCTCCCGGTACAGCAAGTTCATTGTTCAGGTAACAGAATAATCATATGTATTGATGCTACCTCGTCTGTTTGGAAGTATACCTTTTACTGCAAAGGCTTGATTTTTTTCTACCGACCATGTAGCGTCATTAGAACATGTAGCATTTTTGGTTGCGTTGGTACATGTATAATATATTAATATGCTGTCTATTTAAGCCTGTATTGGTGGACTACTCGCTTCAATGTATACACCCAGTGGTCTGTACGTATTTCTAATTTTTCCGGGGGTAGGTACCCAAAAGGTTCTACTGTGGACTTCAGATAATGTTTGACTGAAGCGGACTTGTTCTTTGTTTGTGTGCTCAGTTTGTACATCTGTATCTCTTCAACTTCTTGTGACACTTCTTTTTGCTGGTGCAGAGCCTTGGCCATCCAAATGGCCGCGAACAATTTGATAAGATCCTCATGGGTTTGCTCAGAAGGATATTGGATACTAACAAAAGAGTGCAGGAGGCTGCCTGTTCTGCATTTGCAACGCTTGAAGAGGTTATTAATCTATTTTCGAATTGTTTTCCTGCACTGATATCTTGTGTAATTAATACATAATACTGGTTTCTGTTCTTCAGGAGGCAGCAGAAGAACTAGTACCGCGACTGGAAGTCATTTTGCAGCACCTTATGTGTGCATATGGAAAATACCAGGTTCATTAAATTTCTGACATTCATAGTTTGCAATCAGCTATTCCCTCCATTTTGGTATACAAGACCACCTCGCATTACCAAGTTCATGGTAGTTAGACTCAAACATGAGGTTGACCTTGTATACCGCAACGGGGCAAGTTACAGGTACCGTCCCGGGTCTATCTTTTCTTAGTTCTAATGCTATGTTTTCCTTCTGAGCAGAGGCGGAACCTCAGGATACTCTATGACGCTCTTGGTACCCTTGCTGATGCTGTTGGAGCAGAGCTAAACCAGGTTCAACATTTGATGAATGCCTCTTTTGCTTGCTCTTTTGACTATCAAATAAATTTCTTTGATGGTTTCCTCATTCAGTTTTTCAGCGTGTTAGTTCCTTGTTGAGATTATTAATTCCTTTTAAAATGTCATGCAGGCAAAATATCTTGATATATTTATGCCGCCATTAATCGCGAAGTGGCAGCAACTTCCCAACTCTGACAAGGATCTATTTCCGCTGCTTGAATGCTTTACATCTATCGCACAGGTATTGTTAATTTGTTCATCTGTGAAAGACCATCTTGTAGTTTTGAATTCTAAATTTGCTCTGAAGTTCTCTAGTTTGTCTAGTGTTCTGTAAAAAGTATATTTGGTGTGGAATCTGCTTTGTCAACTCATTACCACCAACAGTGGCTTATCTTGATACTGTACCACAAGTATGTGTAAAGTTCTCTCGTATGTCTGTCATTCTATACAACTCCTGCTGCACCAAATGGTTTGCTGATTTAGTTCTTGTTCTACTAAAGTAGAATTACTTTGAATTACATTGTGGGTTGGGACATGATGAGTGGGCCTTGAAATAACCTTTGTTCAATCTCGTCTTATTGTACTCAAAATAACATTCGGAATTCCTATGGACCTTTTCCTTTCAGGCACTGGGACCAGGATTTTCTCAGTTTGCTGAGCCAGTGTTTGTGAGGTGCATCAGTCTTATCCAAACCCAGCAGTTGGCAAAGGTATGCAATTTTTTTCCTACTATAAGGCTAGATTTAACTTGAATATCTACTGTGATCTGTACATCAAGTCTAACCACCCAAAGGCACAAATACATTCCCATGCTGTAACAAGTAATTTTTGTCTTAATTGAGGCCTTAATGGTGCAGTGTTTAGCACTGCATGCTTAATGTGTGTTTTTTGGTCACTAATGGTAGAGGAATTATTAATAACACTTGATGAAGTTGTTCTTAATTAGAGACACATCCTGTGAACAGTTCCAGTCTTAAGTTTGGTCAACTTAAAAATTAATCTGTTTGCCAATTCAACATCAATCTTTGCTGGAGTATGCTATAGGGTTTAATTACATCAGAGACAAGCTCATGCCATTCTGTTGCTTGAGGGATATCTCCTTTCTACATGCAGGTTGATCCTGCTGCGGCAGGTGCGTTGTATGATAAAGAGTTCATTGTCTGTGCATTGGACCTGTTGTCTGGGCTTACAGAAGGACTTGGTGGCGGTATAGAAAGCCTGGTAAATTCAACTCTCCCATCAATGATATTCACGTTGCCTACCTCTCAAGTTCTCAACGATGACTACCTCAGTAATTTGAGGTGGTTGCATGTTTTGGCATCTTATATGGCGAAAACAAAGTTAAATTTATTAATCTCATGTGGTACATGTTCTTCCTAATATGCTAAAATATGCACTCGTTAAGGTTCGCATACCCATTACACAATACTGATGTGAGTTTGGTTAGTAAACTATATCATACCAGGAAGACTTTCTTATTGGGCAAGCTATCTTTATCTTTGTTTTAGGTTGCGCAAAGCAACTTGAGAGATCTACTTCTGCAATGCTGCGTTGATGAGGCACCTGATGTTCGACAAAGTGCTCTGGCCCTTCTTGGCGACATTTCTAGGGTTGGTTGCAAAGCTCCTAAACTGATCTTTGTCATCGCTATGTCAATTTTGAGCCTATAACACCTTTTCGTATATAGGTCTGCCCTATACATCTTCAGCCACGGCTCCAAGAATTCCTTACTGCTGCAGCAAAGCAATTGGTAAGTGACTAAGTGCCTATGTTCTTTGTGGTCCAGCATTATTTTATCTCCATTTGTTCCTCACATTGTTTCTGTGATCTAGACTCCACAATCTGTGAAGGATGCTGTGTCAGTTGCTAACAATGCTTGTTGGGCCATTGGAGAATTAGCAATCAAGGTTGGTGCCACTTTAGCAATACTATGTGATATTGTACATGGTCCTTTTTACTGGACGTCTATAATTATTGCGTGTGTCTTGACTAGTTTGTCAGCATGTACCTTTGTTTATCTATCTGTGTAAGTTGTGGGCAGTGGGTGCTCTCTGTTTTGTGTCTGAAAGCCAGTCATTCTAGTGCTCATTATTACTGTAAAATTTCTTCCATGTCTAACTGACTATTCCTTGGCAGATTGGCAAAGAAATTTCACCTGTGGTGATCAGTGTTGTTTCATGCTTGGTTCCTATTCTAACAACCCCAGAGGTGATTGCCTTTTTCCCCATCATGTATGTTCTCTAGGCGACTGATCATTTCAACTAAGTGTTGTGTGTCGTGCCATTTACAGAGCTTGAACAAGTCACTCATTGAAAATAGTGCAATCACTCTCGGGAGGCTTTCATGGGTCTGTCCAGACATTGTGGCCCCTCATATGGAGCATTTCATGCAAGCCTGGTGCAACGCCTTGTGCATGTGAGCATACCTTTTTTCCTTCTGTAGCTTTATTCTATAGCCAAAGATTTGTTGTTTGTAGTTCGACAGCATATGAGATGTGGAGCATGTTTTTTCTTTATGCTTTGGTGCAATGCTTCTCGGAGTTAATTTTCTTCTTGTACAGGATAAGAGATGATTTCGAGAAAGAGGATGCGTTCCATGGTCTTTGCGCAATGGTAAACTCGCAGCTCTTTACATAATACTTGCTATTACAACACTCTTCATAGATGCGAATGGTCACTTACAACAAAAACTCTTGTGTGTGCACTACTAGGTGGCAGCAAACCCCACAGGGGCCGTGAGCTCACTAGCCCACGTATGCCAGGCCTGTGCAAGTTGGAATGTAAGTTAGTCGTTTCTGTTACATCCGTATACCTACAGTAGTGTCGCATGTATGAGCTCACTTTTATCTGTGCACAGGAGATAAAAAGCGAAGGTTTGCACAATGAAGTGTCCCAGATTTTGAATGGCTACAAGCAGGTAAAAAACAGCGGGGCCTTTTCGTCGTCGTTGTTTCAGTTTGTGTATGCTGTATGCAAGAAACTGACGGTGATCTTTCTTTCCTCCTAGATGCTCGGAGCTGCCGGCTGGGAACAGTGCATGTCCACCCTGGAACCAGCAGTGGTGCAGAGATTAGCGAGATACGGGGTCTGACGGCGCTGAGAGCCCTGCGCCACCGGTTCTGGCTATACCATCACCACCGGAGTTGAAGATGAGAAAAGGAGGGAAGGGCATGAGATTGCGCAAAGTCGTCGGTCAGGTGTCCCGGGTGTAGCACATTGTGTGATTTCCTATATGATGATGCGATTGGTTGATTGATTCTGCCTGAGTTGGTTGGCTGGTGTTGTACACTGTCGTCTGGTTATACAGGTCTGCTCAAAGTGTAGCGCGACTGAGTCGAGCGGTAAGAATTGAATTGCGACGAGAGGAACTCTGTTTTTGTCGGGTCCTTTTTTGGGGTTTCGCTTGTCACACTCCATTGGCAACCCCAGCAGCAGCATTGAAAGAGATTTTTTGTAGAATGTATTCTATGTGAGAGAAAAGAGAGTTTAGGTCTAGGGTGTGTTTTTGTAATCCTGAATTAATAGGAAGGGCGTCCTTGTATTGATTCATTCCCAACAAGAATAAAAAAAAAAAGATTGGAACAGCGTCAGAATCTTTGTTTAGATAAGCTGATGTTGTAGATTCTTTCTCCTCTCCAGGGTGCCTCAACCGACTGAACCGTTGTCTTGTGCACCCCTGCCATTGCTCGACCTTCCTCCCTTGTTGGTTTTCCTTTACCTGCACCCATCAACCTCACCAGGTGACGTCCTCTACATGCTGTCGTTGGCGATGTAGGAGGACATGGTGTATCACCCCATTGACAACGCCCCCATCAACCTCTGAGAGTGCGCCTGAGGTGGGCGTCTTGTCGGTGGTGGTCATGCGTGGATTCGACATCCTATGTGCGGATCGAATATGTGCTGGATGCACTACTCGTTGCGAGGTGGTTTTGGCCAACGTTGCCATGGCGGCGCATCTGACAGGCAGTGACAACTACGAGGCACACGGCTATCACTGGCAAGGTGGCAGTGCTTGGAAGTGATGCGCAATTTCTTCTTTTTGTCGGCTACTAGTGTGTGAGCAGGTTGGTACACTGGTAGCTGGTTGCAGCGACTTCCGAGATTGAAGGTGGTGTGGGTAAAACCCTATACGTTAGTTGCACGAGAGAGAGAGAGAGAGAGAGAGAAAGAGCGAGTCGACAAGGAGGAGAGAGCTACCATGCATGATCTAGTTTTGGATCAGGTTGGCACACAATGGCAGAGGTAAATTCTTCGCTAACTGAGAGACTAAACTTCCCAAATCGACGTGCTAAAGCGAGAGCCAATGAGGAGATGACTACTCATTCGCACTTCATGCACTTTACAAATATCTCTTTAGTTACAGCTAAACGTCACAGTCTTGGACCCCTTGCATCTTCCCAAGTACCCTTCTACTCCTGAGCTCATTTGAGCTCGGAATGAATAGTTAATTAGGACAAAAATGAAAACAAATTAAAAATATTCTCAAATTATTTTGGTCCAAACTTTGACAAATGTTCTCCGTGCTTGGAAATTTTCATCCCTAAATAACATTTGTGGAAGTCATGGCAAAAAAAAAATTCAAAAATCAAGACTCCAAAATACTTTCAAAAATGGCATTTTCGGAGCATCTATTTTGTTTCTTTTACCACGATTTCCAGGAATGTTATTTTATGATAACCTTTTGCATGCACACAAACATTTGTCAAAGTTTGCACAAAAAAAGTTTATTATTTTTTGAATTTGTTTACTATTTTTTTGATGTTATTGTTCATAAGGGAGCATTTGAACTTGGGAGTAGATGCTCCATGTCTGTATTTTGAAGCTATTTACTACATCCATATACTCTAATTAAAATCACTCTACCAAGTTCTAAAGATATTTAATGGTACATATACAAACACATTATAATATGTCAAATGGTATATGCAAATTGGTGGAATAATGTGAAAGTATTGGTTTGCTCTTTGCTTTATGGTCAAACAAATGTAATAATTGATTTTTCTTAAACACCATGAAATAAATAATAAAATGATTTTTTTTACAAATACAACTTCAATGTAGCACACCAAATGTTGGTAATGGTGAATAAATTAATTGTATGGCAAATTTGTACCTTATTATGAACGTGCATTTTTGAGTTTAATGCTGCTAATTAAACCAAAAAGGTTTATCTATATAAATAATGAAGTAATGTATCAATAAAATAGCATAAATTGATTAAGTAAGAAAGTTTAGTATAAGTAGATAAGTACGGAAGTATAGTTTTTACCGAGTGACGAGTGAAGTGTGTCACCTTTCTCACTCAACCAAAAAAACTAGCTTACAAATGATGCTTATTGATCCAACCTAAATCACCAATGAATTGATCCAACCTTAAATCAATAACCCTAGAAATCAAGAACAAATACAAAGAAATGTTTGACAAAGCTTGCACTCCTCAATCGAGAACCCTACAAATCCAGAACCCTAAAAATGGAGGAGATACAATGTAATTAAGGAAGGAAAGAATATCTAAGAGCATCTCCAAAGCAAATGCTAACATTGGGTGCTAGGATAGATATCTTGGTAGCTTGTCCTAATTCCTACTCGATGTCATGAAATTATGTTGTGTCGACTCAAAGATATCAATAAACTTCCTATATAATATGTAATATCTATTTTCTGAATAAATAGCCAGAGCTTGTGGTGCTTCCTCGAAAAAAAAGATGTCTCGCGTAAAAATAATTACATAATATTAAACATATTCAACGGCAAGAAGTAATACCAGTTTGATATTTTAGCTTTTGGTGACTTTTTCGTGATAGGAATTACAAATGTTTGTCTGCTACAAATTTAAAGAATATATATATTTACCTCAATAGTTAGGATTAATAAATTTACCTCCTCTCTGTGCTTTTCATATGTGTACGACATCATGTTTGGGTATACTACATAGCTGGGAGCATGAGAGAATGATATAATATATTAAAAAAATCTAGATATATATTGGCAAGTTTCTATTTAATGTACCGATTAATGGTCGGCCGATTAATCCAGTTAATAGTCCGATTCACCAATTAATTGCTACTCCTAAACCGACCGAGCAACTATCAGTTAACGATTTCTTAAACATTGGTAAATACAATTCCAATACAATCACACTATAAACATGATCATTTGCATACAATTCATGAGAAACTTCCTTTAAATAGTTCACCTAATTTCTCAGTTGCATTTTGTTTTTAACCTTTTATGGATCATTTATAAAACATATTAGTCATAGATTGATTGACTTCTTAGCTGTAGTTGCTATTTGCGTCATCGGCGAAAAGGGACATCCTATATGATCCGTCCATGAAGGGTCCTCACTATAGCACATCTTTGTCCCAAGCTCCAATAGACTGTTCAAGGGTTGTTTATAGTCATGCGATTCTCTTCTTTTTAAGGAGGATCCCCTGCATCAGTCGATGCACACAACCATTTTATTATTATTCTATAGAGTTTGACAACATGCATACATAGATCAATCAGAGGCCAACTAGCTGGTGAACAAAGTCACAACACCTACACTCATGATAATGTGCCCGAACCGCATGAACAGGCACTATCTAATCCGGTGGCCTCACACAACTGCCCTGCATTTGGCCGGGAGCACCCCTCGGTCTGACCGACCTGCAACGTGCACCGCATGTGCATGCTCTTGATTCGCTGCCACCATCTTCCGCCGTTCCATCTTTAGGAGCGATCAACGCATTCACCTTGCCAGGCCATACCGCCGCCGATGCCACTACGACGCCAGACAGTGACACCCTCCTGCACGTGTCCATCCATACGCGCCTGTCGCTGAGACTCCACTGTGCCATGCCGCCGAGACCCGCCGTCGGCCTTGCAGTAGATGCAACATCGCTCCTCCGCTTGTCTCCTCCAGCAAACTCCTCCTCCAAAACGACCCCCCTAGGAGGGAGAACGGTATCAAAGACGCCGTCATTGTCCGATCCGGGAGACCCATATCTAGGGTTTCTCCCGGAGCATCCCGAGCGTGGTGCCTCAACCTGCAACGACGATGCTTTGAGAGGAGAACGACGTCCAAGATGCCGCCATCGGCCGCAGTGGGTGCGATTTTCATCGGAAGTCACGTCACCCCGATGTCACAGCTGAGTAGATCCATATAGAGCCTCACCACATAGATGAATGCTACCGCTAGAACACCGACAGAGGGTCACCAGCCACACCTAACCGGTTCCTCCACGCGCCACCGGTCGGCCAAGACCAAGCCACGACAGATCTGGATGGAATGCCGGATCGCGGCTGCCCCGACCCATTTCCAAGAAGAGCCATCTACCACATTGGCCATGGAGAGCTAGCCACCATCGCCACCCATGCACGCACTGAAGCCCATCGCCGACCATGGACCGCCGGCAGCCCCCGCACAGGCTAGGGGCACCGCCCAACCTGCTACCTGATACGTCTCCAACGTATCTATAATTTTTGATTATTCCATGCTATTATATTATCCATCTTGGATGTTTTATATGCATTATTATGCTATTAATATCATTTTTGGGACTAACCTATGAACCCAATGCCAGTGCCAGTTGCTGTTTTTCCCTTGTTTTTGTCTTGCATAGAAAATCAATACCAAAAGGAGTCCAAACGGAACAGAACTTTTTGACGATTTTTCTTGGACCAGAAGACACCTAGGAAGCTTCGGGAGGAGGCCAGAAGGCCCACGAGTGAGCAACAAGTTCACCAAGCG